ACATGAAAAACCTGGAAGTACTGGATGGCCATTTCGTTCTATTATGGGACTCCTCGGCAGTGTGCATCCACGATCCCACCTGGCGAGATTCGAACCCAGAACCTACCAGTCTCGCTGTCCAGTGCTTCCAGGTTTTTCATGGTGGTCTAGCTTTAATTGACTCATCATTTCAACTATGAAAAATATTGAAATCTACACAAAACCCCTTCTGAATATCTTCAATGTTTAAATAAATTCCCGTTATCATAAATTAATTTAAGTGTTACATAACAATCTATACAGTTTCAAACAAACATTAGATAATAATGTATAAATATATATATATATACGTGTAAGATGTTTTCCTTCTGATATAGAAGAAACACGAAAAATTCCGCAAATTAATATTCTTACTAAAAATTTATGAGGTTTGAGTGTTTTATAAATGTGCATAAAATTAAGGATTTGCGTTATGACTTTATAAAAAATAATAGGACGCATGCTAATTCGTCATGGATTTCATGTCCAACTTTTATCACGTGCATTATCTACCAATCGAAATACGACTTTTCCGATCTTAATACTGTGACAAATCAATAACGTTCAACTGCTATGAGCAGTCTAGCGTCCTTTTTGGTCCCTTGTCCACTTAGCCCTTCCAATTGAGTCCAAAACACCAATTACAGCTTCAGCTATGCGAATCTGTGCGAATCATTTATTTCAAATATAGTCGGTTTATATAGCAAACAGACAGACTGCATCACATCATAAAATAGAAAATAATATTTATACAGGATCAAGCCAAATGTGGCTGTGAACATGGGATACAATAATCAATAAACTGAATATAACTTAGGAACAGTAATTCGTATAATAATAATTCATAGGTCAAAATGAAGCTTGTAATGTGATGAATATAGATAAACACAATTTAGTTACTCAATAGTTAAACAATAAGAATATACATGGAATAATCGTCCATTAATAGGTCTCGGAAATTACCCATACTTATGTCTTCGCTGGGATATAACAGTTTGAAAGTGATTATTATAATATTAAAAGTATTGCAAATGTCAAGTTAAATGATCAGTTGGAAAGTCACGAGAATCGAACTATGAAGTTAAGATTAAAGTAGAATAGACGTTATGTTTGTTTTTACATTTATTACAAGAGAGAAATTTTTCATAGAAAATTATAAAGTTTAAGTACAATCTAAAAGCTTAGCAATAATTGACTTCTCAAATGTTTTACACTTTAGAATCTATTATTTCTATTATGTAACTTGCTTCATGGACTTACATGCAAAAATGAACTTATGCTATTATAGACGTTCTAAGGAAAATACTATAAATAATGAGTATTTTAATATTCATTTATCTTTAAATACTTTCACTATATTCAGTTGGTATTGTAACTAAGTGGATAAAGCGATGGCGTTTGAAGCGGAAGGTACTGGGTTCAAATCCCAGAGTGAATATTAACTCCGTGATGCAGGTACATCAAGCTGACGAGTCCCAAATAAGACGAAATGCGATTCTTGCATCCCACTACCAGCCAATATCTATCTGTGCTTACAAACTAATAGACTTGGAATTATAATGTATTTGTTATAGTTTGAAGCACTGCATAGATGTATCGGATTCCTATTTCGTTTTAACTATAACAAAAATATCCTACTTTTGATAAGGTATATATACATATATATGTATATACAGCTTATGGAATAATACAATTACAAAGTCATTTATGCATCTTTTCAACATGTTAAATATCAAAGGAACTACAAATACAAGTTATTTTCGAAGAGGAAAAAAACTTGTAATTACCTATCTGAACAATTTAAAATTAAATTTTTTTATAATACTTCACTGTTTCTACATTAAACAATTCTACTACGTTCTTCGTTAATTAATTTGTTTTTCTGCACAAAGGGTTGCTTCAACGTTAACATACAAAAAGGAAGTATATACATATGTAGATAGATAGATAGATTAAATTGTATATGAGAAAAGGAACTAATCCAACAACATTTAAAAATAAAAACGATAATGTTTTGCCTATAGTTTCATCTTGCCCCTTTTTTGATAATTTTATTCTTACTAGGCTTCCTAAGGTGAAAAAAAAAATTTTTTGAGTTTTATCTTGCTTACAAAGGAAATGTTTATTCATCAAACATAACATGGTATATAGAATAAATTGAAAACTAATAAATGAATAAGATGACGCAGAAAGGGGGTGATGGCAGTAGAAACACTACAAAAATCGAAAGATGGAAAATAAGGAGAAACTTTGATGATAAGAACAATAACAAAATACAGAAGAAACAAAGCCACCTAATAACTAGTGACAAATGAAGGACTGTTTTTTTTTCTTATCTCTCCTTTGCTCTTCTCTTTGTTTTGTTAGAAACAAACATGAGTAAACAGAAAGAAAAAAAACAACGAAAAAGAAATTTTGATCTAATTTAGTCTGAGAATCATCTTATCAGTTTTACAAAAAAACTATTGTAGGGAAAAGAAAAACACGTGAAGTATTACATCTTGAAGAATATTTTCAAATTAAAAAAGGACATCATTTGCATGATTTCAATCGATCAATAGAGAAGTTAAGCTCTCATATGTAGAACTAGAAGATAAAACATAATTGGTGTGTAAGTTGGCATTCGTTTTATAAAACTAAATTAAGAAATCGACATTTATTTGATGACGTATTCAAGTCTAAATTAACTGTGGAAATAGAATGATGTTAGAGTCTGTGAAGTAATTTCTAAGACGACAGTTCACTTTTGTTTGCCTACTTTAGGATTACAAAAGCTTGAATAGTAAGCAACAACTTAAAATGAAAAAAAAACACAAAAAACTAAGAAATTTATAGAATATCGTTTTTGAAAAGATGGAATACGTACGTTCACATAAATACACATTCTAAATTTTATGAATAATATCATGCAATGAAACAGTATGAACTGAGACAGGATATGTCGTCGCCATATTCAAGATGACAATAGTGAACAATTAATTTTTATGAACTATATATTATCGTATTATTACTATAGAACTGAATAAACGACTGTAATAAAGTATGACTAAAGGTCGAAATAATCAGATTAATTTTTAATTTATACTAAGTAAAAACTAAACAATAACTTGAAGGAATCAAAGGAAAGAAGTGGGAATGATGATGTAAATAAAATAATGAAATATAAATTTTATCAGTATATTAACTATAAAGTCATACACATTCTGATTAAAAAGAATCTAAAAAATGTAATTTAACTATCTTGACAGATAGTTCTTTGTGTCGTTAGAACACAGTATGATATTGAAATAGTTACTTATAATCAGTGAGTTTATGAATTATAGATAACTGACTTCAAGAGATATTTTCTGTAGTTCTAGTGAAAAGCAGTGACCAGTGTAGTTCAACCAGGTCTGTTGTGAGATATAAATTCACTGAAGACATTAGTGATCGGTTGCTCAATTCCGTGGATTGGTTAAAGTTAGACATTAACATCGTTGGATGCCGGCCGGCTCACTGGTCTAGTGGTTGAGCGCTCGCGCGCGAGACTGTTAGGTCCTGGGTTTAAATCTAGTGAGGCGGGATTGTGGATGCGCACTGCTGAGTAGTCCCATACTAGGACAAGACCGCCGTCCAGTGCTTCCAGGTTTTTCATGGTGGTCTATCTTCAATTGACTCATGATGTCAACTATAAGATATTGTTTATGTTATTTCTAATCTCTGTATAATTGATAGAGCAAAATTAGAAATTTCCAATTTCTTGTCAATATTATTATTATTGTAATGGATAGTTAAGAATTTGACTTAAACTTTCTTCTGTTTAAAAATTTAAGAAAACAACACTAAACATTAAATTAGCTTATTAACCTTCATTGATTAAAAAACGGATCTATATATATATATGTGATCACCATAAGTCTATGTAAGTTAAGATCCCAGCACAGTGAACCTAAAGTTTTTAGGGAGTTGATGCTTCCAGTATTTTTTTAACTGTCGTCACGGTCTGACATTGCTACTGGCCTGTTCGAACCATACGTGATATATATATATATATATATATATTTGGGGACAGAAAAACTAGCCGGTTATTTAACGGGCTACCGTTATTACCCCCTCAAAAGAAGTGAAGAAATGCAATCTCACGAAAAAAACACTTCAAGAATAGTTAACTATAACAAAACACTTGAATCTGAGAGTTAGAGCAAAAACTTACTCTACAAATAAAATCTAGAATATCAATAAAAATAGTCGAATGAATGAAGTGGATGAATATTAAATTAAGTAGTTTTGTGAATGCAGAAAAATAGAAAATTATACTCGAATTCATGGAGATCTTGACAACAGCATAAGTTCTTGTTTCAGACATAGGGCTTTATTAGATCAAGTTAGCCGAATATAAATATAGTACACTGTAATACTAAACATTAAAAAACTCAAGTATGAAAATGAATAGTGTAGGTCGACTGAGTACTTATTTTTCTAAAGTATGTGTAAATACCTTAGGAACAGCTATTGATTATAGGACATAGTTTACCAATAAACATTACTACATAATATAAATTATGTTCTCAAACTATGATTTGTTTGTTAACGATTGAATTTTATTTTTCAAATCAATGGAACGTGAATGATATATATACAACTTAACATTGTAGTTTATTTATAATCAGTATAATCAGAATACAAACACTTTTAAGCAGCATTAATAAGATGTAGGTTGGATTTACTAGATGAGATCTTTAACAAACTGGTTCAAGCAAATAGACGATATATTGTACTGTGAGTAAAGCAAGCAAAAAAACGACAAATGAATATTCAACCAAGAAGATATCCTTAACTGTATTGTTTTAATTCAATAATTACAACATAAGCATAATTATAGATACATCAAAAAATAAATACTATATTCAAAGTTTTCTGAAATGAGTCGAAAAAAGTGAAGTGAATAACTTTTAATGAAATGATCATGATAAAAATCGCTAATTAACTATATTTCAACTTACCAACATAACCTGGTGTACCACAGGCTGTAGCCATGATGGACTCATTGTTTTCTATTTTCGACAAACCAAAATCACTAACCATTATTTTACTATCATCAGCTGGACTAAAGTAGAGTAGATTTTCCGGCTAAATGATTAGTAATATATCATAAAGAAGAAAAATAATAAACAGTTATCATTATAGTTTCATAACACTGATCAATATCACATGCTAAAGTAACTAATCAGAATTTTAGTTATAACTTTTATCTATAATAAGGCTACTATTCCTTCTTTATCCTGGTGTCCTCGACTTGACCAATTAAACATCCGACCTGCACCGTTAACCTTGAATCAACATAAGTTATACTCCTATTTGTCTAAAATACTCAAACTTTTATTTGTCCTTTACGTCGAGTCCAAACAGGAGTCAAAAGCTGGCTTCTGTTACACTAAATTAGACCATGGCTCAAAACGCATACAATAATATACTTAAAATCCTTGACCACACAACACACCAAGAATAAATCATACTTGAACAAACAATTATATCATAAACGATAGAGAATGAAACAACAGAACATAATTAACTAGTAATAAGTAAGAAACACTAAAACGAATAACAGTGGTTAATCGATCTGTTGTATGCTTAACTTAAGAAATATAGAAAAGTAACAATACAGTTATCCACAAAACAAATAATAGTCCGAAAATAGTCGCGAAACTTTAAACTTTTCCAATATTCGTCCTGTCATAACAGTTAGTGAATTGTAAATTTAATCAACGATGCAAACAACATTAAAATAGATTTGCATTGACAGCAGTTTTTTTAATAAAAACAATAGAAAAAGTGTAGATAAAATGAAGTCAATGTATAGTAACTGAACTGCTAAATGATTTAGCTGGTTGTTTTCATCATTCATCATTTTATAATGTAAACAAAAAGCAAACAGTTTTGAATGAATATTAATTCATCTGATTAAAGAGCAATAGATGTTATAGTGAGATATTTTCCTCTACTCAATGAATACCATTGAATAAACTTGTTGATATAAATACATCTTGAGGTCAGTCAGTCACAACATTGCTGCTACATTGACGTGGTGGTCGGGCTTGCCTATCGTGATGAACCAATCGAACTATACTAGCTGGAACAACCGTTCTCCAAGGTCCTACCATGCCAGATGGGTCGGTTGAAGAGCGGTAAAACTAAAAGCAGCAAACTAAGGTCCGAAGGCGAAGTCGTACTGCTGACTGTACAGAAGTGTGACAGCAGTAGAGTGTTTTCTTCTGACAACCAACATAACAACGATGCTGCCTTCCCACAAGGGGGGATGGGGTTAGAAAAGGTCGACCCTAAAAATGCACACCTCGTCTTATCCCACGGATTTCCGTCTCCGGCGGTAAGGTCCTTTGAAGAACGGAGCTAACACGTCAAAAATCCCCCACAAGGCCGTGTGTGACCGGCCTCAAGCAGTTGTCCCTTGGGCACTGCGGTCACGCTCCCAGGTCGTTAAGACCAACACTGATCCAACTTCCTTTTCAGGTCCCTCAAGAAATACCCTTCCACGGTGTGGACAGCCGGGAAGTGATATTAGACCTCATACCCGTAAAATCTTGAGGTGTTTTTATATAGCTTGGCTGTAGACAAAGTTATTATATAATATGAACTTATTTCACTTTTCAAGGACATTAGAAAACTTTACATAAATAATAAAATAGATGTGTAAACACTTTAAATATGATTCCGAAATGTTAGTCTTTATTTTAATCAGTGGCTACATATAAGATAAGTTGCTACTTTAGAGTCCTTTTCTTTCTGAAGTACGTTTTATACTTTCATTCGAAACCAGCAGTTGTGTTAGGATAAATGTCAGGAGAAATAAATGAGTTTGCAGATTATTGATTCAACGGATAAAAGAGCAGAATAATCTTTTATCACATGACCCTGATTATCATTTTTGACCAGCTATCTTTTATCTATTGCCTAGGATAGAGTTCGATGGAGAATACTGGTGAGCGGCCTATGCTCCTCCAAGGGGGGTAATAGGCGTAAGTAAATAAGTAGTGTCTGATAATTTTCCACACAAATGACACATTTCCCTTTTAGTTAGTTGTCCTGTCTTCTGAAATTTGTTCAGTTCAAAATTCGGGATAGATTCTATGAGTAGAATTATTAGTATGGGAATCACGGTGATTCTTGCATTTTATTTTATATTTCTTGATTTTACTTCACAATAAGACATCGTGACAGTTCGTTTATAGATGTTTTCTTATTAACTTAAAGACTGAATTTGTGACAACTTCCGAATTATACCTGGTGACGTTTTTTCATGAAACAATAATTGTTGAAACATTCTTCAAGTTACAACAACCTTGAATTAAAATAGGATAAGCAAAGATGGACATTGGCTAGCAGTGGAATCAAGGACGCGCGTTTCGTCCTATTTGGGACTCGTCAGCTGGATTTACTTGCATATCAGGGTTGATTTCCACTCTGGGACTCGAACCCAGTATCTTTCGCTTCAAACGCCATCGCGTTATCCACTCAGCAACTGAGTCCTGATAGCCACTTGCTTTTGCAATGGGGTGAAGTTAAAATTCACTTGGTATTACTAGTTTGAATCTTCTAATTGATGTTTAGGACTGCAACTGGTCAGTCCTGGATTCCACTGCTAGACACTATCCATCTTTGCTTTTACTTACTTACTTACTTACGCCTGTTACTCCCAATGGAGCATAGGCCGCCGACCAGCCTATGCTTATAATGCTTGTGAAATAAACCTATATCGAGGCAATACGCACAGTATGCAAATATGCCAATAAGAGACTGACCATTTGCAGTCCTAAACATCAACTGGAAGATTCAAAGAAGTAATACCAAGTGAATTTAAAATAGAATGAGTTTAAAACTTCTAAAGTTATCCTTGTTGCTTATTATTTTGTTTTTCAAAAAAAAAGAGGAACGTGGTCGATAATCGATTCTGTCACACGATTTCGATCTTTTCCCTTTTTTTTCTTCATTTTAATCGTTTTCACTTATATCAGAAATCATTATCGGTTTATGGATAGCGTGTCAGTTATTTAGTACTCATTTACTATTCTCTTATTCGATATATATATATATATATATATATATATATATATATATGGATAGCTTTTGTTTATCAAAGTTATTGACACAAATATGACCTAATGTTTTTTTCATTATAGTTAAGTTCATTGTTTATTTCTGTCTGTATATAAACTTGTAATTTATGGCCTTAGACTTAATAATAGTTTATCTAGTTAAAAGCTTTTTTTACTTCCTTAACATGTTTTACTTCTTCATTGGTTTCCAGTCAATTTAATTACAGGAAACACGGAATATCAACTGAATAGTTGAATGATATTATGCTGATCATGTAAGATTTAATATTCTATACTTGTTCCCATGTGGAGTTATGGGGGTGCAATTTGTGAAATGCTTAATTACAATGAAATAGTCGTCTATTTGTCATTGTTTTTTTATATCCCGAAGAGTTAAGTAACTAAACCATTCCTATTCATGTTCCTGTCATTATAAGCGTTATTTTGACCTATGAATTATTACCATACGATTTACCATTCTTGAGTTATCTCCAGTTTATTAATTACTGTTTCCCCTATTCACAGCCACATTTGGCCAAATCCTGTACAAATGTTATTTTCTATTTTATGGCACGATGTGGTCAGTTTGTTTGATATATGAACCCAGTATGTTTGAGAATAATGATTCATAGTGCAGAGGCTGTTATTGGTGTTCTGGACTTAACTGGCTGGGCTGGGCAGGAAGCTGGACCGATAAGGACTCTAGACTGCTCATACTGTTTAATGCGTCTTTGGTTCGATCGATAAATCACTGCTCTCTAATTGGTCGTATTATCACGTCATATGTAAACAGGGCACTCGTACACACGTTATAACATTTTTTTATTAGTTAAATTACAGTAACAAAAGCTTTAAACTGGAAAAAATTCTTTACAAATCACCTTATTAAATATTTATGTTTCTGTCATTAAAATGAACAGCTTGACAATTCAGATTGAACAAAATGAGAACTAATATCATTGAGATTCTGAACCGACCAATTTTAGATCATCATTGAAAACCGAGAAGCACTGAATTGCCGTCTAGTTCTGGTATGGGATGCGCATTGCCACAAAGTCCCATACTAGGACAAAAAGGCCTTCCAGTGCTTCCAAGTTTTCAATGGTAATCTAATATCGATCGGTTCATTATTTCAATGAAATTCAACAATCTCCAGAATTTCAAACTGAAAACTAATTGTCAAATTGCATTATTGCATATTATTATTAGGTTTTATTAGTCAATATAAATGATCTAAACATATGAATAAATGATTTACTTGTCTGACAGCGTGAAATATGAAACATTACTCCGAATCTTAAAAATCTTACATTAAACCGTTCTTTTATTAAAAATAAGTAGTTAAATACTGTTATTGAACAGTACATACTAAATAATGGAGGTAAATCGTTTTAAAATTGGTAAACCGAATTCAAAGAAGTACTTAGTATATAAGCTACATTAAATTTTACTGTAGTAAATGACATTGGTGTTTAACGTTTCATCTGTAAGGTTTTTTAATCATTTTCAATGTTTTTCGTAATTTCAATGATATTAGAAATGCAAATTACATCTATGGAAAAAGAAAGTATTGTTTAAACATACGCTTATTCGTCATCATGGCTGTGGTGATGATAGTAGTTTTTAAATCAAAACGGTTATAGGTTTATAAATTTTGTTTTTACCATTTTCTCAGTGTGTCGAAAAGTATTATTAGGTAACATAAACACTGTAAACGTGGCACCGGCCAAGATTATGACACTATACTTACTACGCATATTTACTACTAAATGATATTTAATAAATTGGGCTATAAACTGCAGCATCTGATAAACATTACGAGAAAAATGAAAATACATTTATGAGAGACAATGTTTATAGAAACGAGTAGTCAATATAAGAAAACAGTATATTTTGTTAAAAGGGTTTATGAAGATTGTCAAATGTTTATGGTTTACAACACGTACTGATCTAACGTGAGTGAGTACTGCTAGAACGAAACAATTATCTGGTGCTTCTTGAATTTTAACGGTTATCACC